TTTTCAGTGGAATCTGTTGTTTTGACCGGTAAGAAATGTGCAGATTTGGTCAAAAACGATCCACTATAACCCATATTGCATCTCATCCCTTTGGAGATTTAGGTAAACTTGTAACGAAATCCATGGTTATATGATCCCATTTTCATTTTGCCAATGGTAATAGCTGTAATGGACCTGATAGTTTTTGATGTTCAGCTTTCACCTGCTAACATGTAAGACACTTTGCTACAAATTTTTCTATATATCCCTTCATGCTGATCCACCAAAAGTTACGTATCAGGTCATGATACATCTTTGTCCCTCCAAGATGAATTGTGTAGGACGAATGATGTCTTTCTTTCATAACTTTCTTTCTCATATCATAAATTTCTGGTACATACAATCTATTCAGATATCTTAATCCACTATCTGCGTGGACATTTCATCCATCTGGTGTCTCTCTAGTTGTGCCTCAATTATCTTTCCAATTAAAGTGGGGTGAGTTACTAAATTGCATAGATATGCACAATCCTCGTCCATACCTACGTACAAGTCAAAATCATAAAGAGACTCTACCATCTTCCACCTTTGATAATATAAACTGGCTACGACTTCTTGGGGATTTTGACTTAAAGCATCTGCCACTACATTAGCTTTTCCAGGATGATAATGTAAATCAAAGTATAAGCAACAACTTTGTCTTAAATTCCATCTTCTAGATATTCCATCCAATGCCTTTGTCTTAAATTCAATTCCTTCTGAGTGAATAAGTACTTCAAACTCTTATGGTTCGAGTAGAGTTCAGAATGTTCCCAATATTAATAATGTATCCACACTTTCAATACGTGAACAATGGCTGCCAGTTCTAGATCGTGTGTCGGGTAATTCTTCTCATGTGATTTCAATTGATGCAAAGTATAAGCAACAACTTTGTCAGATTGCATCAAAACACATCGTAAACCATGAAATGATGCGTCAGTATATACTATAAAACTTATACCTCTTTTTGGTATAATTAACACAGGAGCCGATGTCAATCAAGTTTTTAACTCTTGAAATGCTTCCTCACATTTATCATCCCAAATAAACTTAACTCCCTTTTGTGTCAACTTGGTCATTGGATTAGCTATCCGAGAAAAGTCCTTGATAAACTTCCTATAATAGCCAGCCAAACCAAGAAAACTTCGAATCTCATGAACATTTTTCAGTTGTTTCCAATTTAACACTGCTTCTACTTTTGCAGGATCCACGGCGATGTCTTCTTTTGAAATAACATGTTCTAAAAACTTTACTTATGTCAACCAAAATTCACACTTACTAAGCTTGGCAAATAACTTGTGTTCTCTCAATGTCTATAGAACAATTGACACGTGTTGTTCATGTTCTTCTTGAGATGATGAATAAATGAGAATATCATCAATGAACACAATCACAAATTAATCCAGATAAGGTCAAAAAACTCGATTCATTACGTCCATGAAAACCACCGGAGCATTTGTCAATCCAAAAGGCATTACTAGGAATTCATAATGTCCATATCGCGTTCGAAATGCAGTTTTTGATACATCTTCTGCCTTTACTCGTAATTGGTGATAACTAGAGCGAAGATCAATCTTTGAGAAGTATCAAGAATCTTATAGTTGATCAAACAAGTCATTAATCCTAGGTAATGGGTATTTGATCTTGATGGTGATTCTATTTAGTTGACAATAGTCAATACGCATCCTCAGACTTTGATTACTTTTCTTCAAAAAGAGTGCAGGAAAACCCCATGGTGAGGTACTAGGACGAATGAAACCTTTTCTCTCAAGTTCTTGAAGTTGTGTTTTGAGTTCTTTTACCTCTGCTGGTGCCATCCGATATAGAGGTATAGAGATAGGTGATGTGCCATGATAGATATCTATAGAAAACTCCACTTGATGTTCTGGGGGTAATCCAGATAACTCTTCTGGGAAAACATCACTAAAATTCTTCACTATAGGAATAAGCTCAAGTTTCGGATCACCCAGATCCTTATTGCCCATGTGAGCAATTAATCTCAAATAATTACAATTTCTATTATCCAAGATTGATTCAGGCTTGCAAGTATTCCTATTTCCATAAAAACTGAATGTTTTCCCTTCGTTGAGAGTCATAGTCACCATCTTTTTACCTCAATCAAGAATATCTTTAAATTGGGTAAGCAAGTTCATTCCCAATATTACAGCATACACTATGAATTTCAATATCATCAAGTCAAAAACAAGTTTATGATTTGATATCTCTTTTGTGCAGGATCTGCATACCTTATTAACTTCAACACATTTACCCAATGGAGATCCAACCATCAATGAAGATTTCATAAATTCATATTCTAGTCCAAGAATAGATGCAAATGACATAGATATGAATGAATTTGTAGCACCGGGGTCAAATAATATTCTAGCCTACAAGTTGAAAACTAGAAATGTACTTTCCATCATAGTAGGTTCATTCTACTCTACCACTTGTCCAACAGCATATACTCGCCCCTGAGTGAGTTGTTTTAGTCTCCTTGTTGCTTCTGGCGCCCTAGGCCTTTGTTGTGTAAGTTGTCTTTTAGGACGTTGTACTTGTTGATTAACAAGACCTCTAAATTGATTTTGTGAAGCTTGGTATGGGGCTTGGTAAGGGGCACGGTATTGTGTTTGCGGAGCTTGAAATTGTTGTTGTGGTGCACGGAATTGTGGTTGTGGTTATGGAATAACAGGTATCTGAAACGATTGTAGCTGAGGACAATCCCATACAACTAGTACATCATTTATATCTTGGAATAAAATATCAGTATTCTAATTTTTATAACTAATTGGAAGGATTCATGGGTCATTACCCATGTTCAAATACTTGAAAAAAATAAAATAAACAAACAAAATAAGAACAAAAATCTTCCCTCTTCTTCCTTAGAGGTAGTGGAGTTGGAGGTAGTGGCGGAGCCATGAAGATAAAATTGAGCAAGACGAAGTAACTTTGGTTTACCAAAAGCTACAAATGAATCTTTCAGACTCAAACATGCCAAACAAATAGCAACTCGGTATTTACCTCATTAAAGCGATCTTCTAACTCCGTAATTTGCTCATCAATGGCGCAAATAAAGAGCTCCACACGATAATGATGACAATTTGTCTTTATTGGAGCATTACGCCTTGACCTCCTTGGAAGTATAAATGACTGTTAGGAACATCAATATGATGTTTGTCACAAAAAGAAGATGCTTCATTAACCAATATATCGAACCCATTATTCCACATCCAATGTAGTTTTTCCTTGCATGATTTCACTAAAGCCATTGCATTCACAATTTCTTAATCTTTCCTTTGCAATGCTTATGACACATCATTTGTGAGTCCCAATATGACTTTCATCAAGAAAAGGTGAAACACAAACTCAAAAGTGCGTATTTCTCTCATTAACTTATTTGCTTCACCCGCACTATCATTGAGATTATCATCAATAACCATTTGAAGCACATGAACCACGGATAAAAACATAGATATGATGCTAATCAAGGTACCATAGTGTGAGTTTCATCGTGTGTCACCGGCACATTTGAGATTTGTTTGTTGATTTAAGCCTCGCCCCATTATAAGACAATCATTTTCAAAAGCTATCACAAGCTCTTCTTGGAGTTGCTCTCTAAGTAAATCACGCCGCTTACAAGATGCTCCAACATGATTAACCACACTATTAGCCATTGCAAACAAAGAGGCAATGTCTATATTTTTCTTTGCCATGGCAACAAGAGCTAGTTGAAGTTGATGAACAAAGCAATGAACATAATATGCACAAGGTTGTTCTCTCAATATCTTTGTTTTAAGGCCATTCAACTCACCTCTCATATTGCTAGCACCATCATAACCTTGTCCCCGTAGCTTGGAAAGGCTCAAACCGTTGCGTGAAAAGAATGTGTCAATAGCATCCTTTAGTGAACTTGAAGTAGTGTCGGTAACATGTTGGATGCCCACAAATCTTTCAATTACATGCCCTTTGTCATCCATATAACGCAACACCATAGCCATTTGCTCTTTCACCGACACATCATGTGCTTCATCCACCAATATTGAAAAGAATCTATCTTTTATACCATTCATGATAGAATCAAGTGTTTCAAGGGCACATGCACTCACAAGATCTTTTTGAATGCAAGGAGCTAGTAATTTGAGATTCCCCAAAGCATTTTCCATCACAACTTCTCTAACATTGTCATCATTATCTGCAAGGAATTGCAATAGCTCCAAGTAATTTCCCCTATTGCTTGAAGTGGCACTTTCATCATGGCCACGAAAAGCAAGACCTTGTCACAATAAAAACTTAGTGCACTTGATTGATGCAATCAAGCATGTGCGATAAGCCTTACGAGCTTGGTCGGAGTGTTTGCTCACTGTCGTCTCAATATGTATATTTTGATTCATCAAATTTGTAGCAGCTTCTCTAGCTTTATTATGAACACTCCCAACCGGCCCAACATGCATCTTAAATTTTTCTCTCCCTTTCTTCTAATTCTTAAATCCATCTCCAGTGAAAGCTTCACTACCCACTTGTTCAAAATTGGTTTTAAAGAGATAGCAATAGAGATAAAATGCCGCATCTTTAGATATACTATACTCCAACCAATCAAACTCATCAAACCATTGGGGAATGAAGGGTCGATTTATTCCTGACATATTAGTTATTGGAAAATTATGACCTCTTGGTTGACAAGGTCCTTTTTGTAGATATGATCTTCGGACCTCATCCCTCATATTAGCATCATAATCTATCATTCGAGTTCTTAATCCAAGGTCCGCTTGAAGATTACCCAGAACACCATCTAGCTAACTTTGTCTTGAACTCGAACCCAAAACACCATCTAACTGACTTTGTCTTGAACTTGGAGTTCTTGAACTACCAACATTATTTGAACTATCAACATTATCTGAACTACCCGAACTCGATGATGACTTTCTCTTAAAAAACAGTTCCATAATAATTCTACATATACAAAATAATCAAAATAAATACTCACAATATAAACAAACCATCAACATAATCAAAATAATTATGAATTGGATTTCAATTAAATTAAATATATTCTACATATACAAAATAATGAAAATAA